CTTAGCTTTTCCAGTGGTCGGATGTTGCTTATCTTACCTTACTGCAATGAAATACTCTGTCTCTCGCTATTCTTCCTGCCTGTGTTGTTTTGGTTCCCCTGTCAGGTATCTGTGTCACCTTCCCATATTTTGTTAGGTCTCCTCCTTTTTCTCTTGCCTTAAACCTTAACGTCCATGATAACGACTGAAAAATTATATTATATTCTTCTTCAAGTACCAGGCCTGAAAGAGACATTGGCACTTGACGATCAAAGTTCGTCTCTTGTTTCTCAGCTCGGATGTCTCAAAAAAAAACAAAAAGAACTATTATCCTCTATTTTCCAAAAGATTGAATTCCTTTTATTTTAAAGCAGAAAACATTCAAAGTAAAATGAATTTTCATGTTTATTTTATTGAAATGATTAATCAAAGTTACAAAGGCAAACAATTAACCCTTTGTTTTTCACAAATTATTTAAATTAATGCTATCTTTGAAGTGCGACAATGAATTATAAAGCTATACTCTGATTAGTTCAAGGTTTTGAAAAAAATATAGAATCACTATAGGAATAATGACGAAGTGGTAGATTTAGATTTGAGCACTCTGTGGCCATCACATGAGGACAAAATATAATTAGCATACAAGACAATGACAACAAGAAATTAACAGCAAGGCTATTGATAGCAATCTACTGCAAAAGTGCTTTCTTTGCTCGCTCTCTCTTCCAACACAGCTATGCTGTTGATGTGCAGGAACCCCGGTAGATACAGAGAGGTGGTGGTAGGAGAGATGGAGATAATAAGAGAAAGAGAACGAGAGGGGAAAACAGAGAGACAGCGGGAGAGAGAGAGACAGAGACTCACAGAGAAGAGAAAAGGTGTCAATAAGAGAGAAGGAAAAGGTTTGGAGGAAAAAAAGTGAGCTTGAGCTTGAACAATATGAGGAGGGGGGGGGAGGATGCAACAGACATTTTATGTAACAAGTAATCTGGGAGAGCAAATGGCCCAAACTACTAAAATATGAGATTGAAGTGACGTAACATGATGTTTGACTCACTGAGGACGAGCATTCTGGTCTTTCGACAATATTTGAAGACCGATGTTGGAGGCACTTTAAAAAAGCAATATATCTTCGTTATTCATACGGAATTTTTTTTCTTTGTTTGAAAATTTAAAAGAAGAGCAACGATATAAATTATAAGTGAAAAATGAATATTTTACAGATGTGTGTTCCTGGGGTGTGTATTAAGATTCCAAATGTGCTGCAACATTTGCTTTGGTCTGCTGCTGATCGCACATAATTATTATTGTGTGTTCGACATGTCCTTAAAAGGTTAAACATGTAATATCAAGCTGCCATGGAAGAACAGAAAATGCGGGCTATATTTTGCGCATAACACCACAGCGCGTAGTATAAATATTTTTAAAATGTCGTTTAGCTTATACATCTTTTAGTCATGCAAGATACATTAGGAAACAACTCCCTACATGAACCAAAACAGATGTGTCATAATAATAGTAATATAGTGAGGGGAAAGGGCTGTTACTGAACCTATCTCGATTCTTCACATACACATCGTTGAGCTCACAATATAGCATGTTATTTCTTAAAGAATATCTGACAAATACTCCAAGTTTCCTTAAAAGAACTCTATACGTGTACGAGTCTATCAAACTTGAGTCAATATGAATGTTCGGACAGTGTTGTTCAAAACATAATGGAGCATGCCCGCAACCGTTCAATATGTTTTTAGCCAGAAACTATTCAACTGACATCAATTAGACCAATGGTCGTCCAACGGAAATGGGAGATCAGCCTCACAAAAATTGCAATTTATCAAGGTGAATGTTGCTATCCGAATGCAATCAGAGTGGTTGGAGGGGTGGAATTGTGTGTCAGAAAAGTACAAAATTCTACAAAGAAGAAAAAGGAATCTGTGTGGATGCGTTTCTATTGGCACAACAAAGAAAATGGTATAAGTCTTGACAGGGGTGGGGCTGATACTATCAAAGTACAAAACTTGAATACGATTGGGGCTATTAATTGTGCGTGTGTGTGTGTGTGTGTGTGTGTGTGTGTGTGTGTGTGTGTTTGTTTGTTTTTGTTTGTTGTTTCTTGTTGTTGTTTTTTTGGGCTTGATCTAACACAATCGCGTACACGATTGCAAAGAAGCCAGAATTCAGATCACCATTGATCTTTGCACTTTTAGAAACTCAAGGAAAGTCCCGTGTTCTAGTTAGCTGGCGACACCTGACCTTTGGATGGCTTTGGTTTAAAGGTGGAAAACTATATCTCAACCTCATTCTATATTATCAATTCAAACAATTATCAAAAAATAAAATCTAAAATATTATTATATACGAAGTATAAATTCTCTCTCTCTCTCTCTCTCTCTCTCTCTCTCTCTCTCTCTCTCTCTCTCTCTCTCTCTCTCTCTCTCTCTCTCTCTTTCTCTCTCTCTCTCTGTCTTTCTCTTTCTCTCTCTCTTTCTCTTTCTCTCTCTCTTTCTCTCTCTTTCTTTCCTACATTCTCTCTCTTTCTCTCTCTCTCTCTCTCTCTCTCTCTCTCTCTCTTTCTCTCTCTCTCTCTCTCTCCTACATTCTCTCTCTTTCTCTCTCTCTTTTTCTCTCTCTCTCTCCTACATTCTCTCTCATTCTCATTCTCTCTCTCTCTCTCTCTCTCTCTCTCTCTCTCTCTCTCTCTCTCTCTCTCGCTCTCGCTCTCGCTCTCGCTCTCGCTCCCTTTTATCGAGAATCATGCCACACACTGAAACAAGCTGCATCACGCACACTGTCCTCTACTGGGACCAGACTTTGCAACAATCTCACAGACCAATAAATCGGTAATACAGTACAATCTCAATTCATTGCTGACCACACTGAACTGTCTCTTCTTTCAATACCTGTTTATTATATATTTATTGTCACCAATAATACATGTACAGTGCTTGCCTTTGAAGATTTATGAGCATTAATTTCATTTTAATATAAACTTATAAGAACAATTCATAGATTTCTGGGGGTGTTAAAAAAGTATGACGATTTTGAGAAAGGGAAGGAAGAAAACGTTTCATATTTCAATTTGGTTTTTCATGTATGACATATGTGTGTGCGCGCGTGTGTGTGTGTGTGTGTGTGTGTGTGTGTGTGTGTGTGTGTGTGTGTGTGTGTGTGTGTGTGTGTGTGTGTGTGTATGTGTGTTACTTGTCTTTTTTTAGAACTGGGTCTGTCTGTTCTTCTCTTCAGGTTTGGGCAGGCATGGGAACGTAACTGAAATGTAAGAAGAAAACACAAATTAACAGCATATCAGAAGATTAAAATTCAAAGTATTCGAGTCATGGAGAATGCGTAGTTAAGTTAAGGGGGGGCTACACCTGGAGGCTATCTCGCTTATTACTGGACCGAATTTTACCAAATGTCACCCATATAACAAGCATAGTAAGGAGTCTTAACATCCGCAATCAAATTTGAGAAAAAAGTTTCGTTTCCATGGATACGCCGCCATTTTGGATTTTATTGACATGTCTTACGTAATGAATACCGTACTTATGGTTCATGGAAATTGATTGTTTTTTTGCATGCGTGTTCACAAACATCGGATCTAAAACTTTATCTGTTGTTTTTTTCCTAAACGAATTAGAAGATTTTTAATGAATTTTTTCCTGAGGTAGCATTCAAGTTTGTGAAAAATCCGTGAAAATCCACACTCAAGACACCACCAACAAAAATCTATTACATATATCAAAAATTCAACAAAGTAATTTTTTGTATTACCTCTTCTCTTCACTCTGTGAAAATTTCATGAAGATTGGATGAAAATGGGGGAGTTATTCAAAAGAGTATACAGAAAAGTCGCGTTTTGAGAAAACGGCCGATAAAGAAAAATAAAATACTGACATTATGAGGAAATGGCGGTTACAAACATGTCCGGTATGGGAAAAAAATGCGGTTTTTGGAGGTTCTTATGCTATGAAATAGTTGTAGGAGAGGCTGAGGAAGCTAAAAATGCCTACAACTCAAATTCCATGATTTTGAGCCGAATTTTGACTTTGGGGGTGTAGCCCCCCCCCCCTTAATAAGCTCCTTTTTTAAAGTAATTATCTTATAACGATTTGGACTCTACAACATTTAAAGAAAGAACTCGATATGTAGCAAACCAATGGTCTACACAGTTCCTAGGACTGGACGAGTGTTGCCATTATAATATTAGTTCACTCTACTTCTGGACTAAATCTCTTCCCTTTTCATTTTCCAAGTTGCTCTACCTGAGTTTTGTTCCTCCATCAGTCCACCGCATAATGTAATTGCGTTAACATGCTTTTCTTTGACTCAAAGGAAGCTCAATTCACTTTAAAAAGAAAGGCAACTCTCCCCCCCCCCCCCCCCCAAAATAGATAAAGGGCTCTGTATCAGGATGTCCACTCCTTTTCCCTGCAGAATGAAAGATCGCTATTCTGTACATACTTCTTTTTGCTACTTCGTCTTAAAACTGGCTGAAGCTTATAATGACTTCATGCCGCTTCAAACTAGGGTTTTTCTTCTTCAACAGCTTAGACTAAGAGACTGTCATCTTTAAACTTAAAAAATCAGAGGTTTCTACACTGTTCACTTCTTTAGATATAGAATAGCCTTATGAGCTTTGCAACAAAGTTCTTGAAATAACAGGATAATAATTTGTTTTGTAATAAGATACATACATTTACCACCATACATCTTTGATTGCTCCTCACAGAAACGGTTGTAGTCACCGGAATCGTAGAATTCTGCGAAGGCCGGATTCCACCAACCAGGGAGCTGTGACCCCTTCTTGGCCATAATGCTAGTACCGACGTTTTCGCAGTGGAACTCGCCGGGGAGAGTCTCCAGGGTTTTGATGTTTAGCTCCTTGGTGAACCAGGCAGAAGCCTAAAAGGAGAAATAAAATAATAATTAATTGTTTCATGTCCGTGATTTTTAGATTTTCATGTTTTTCAGTTACACCTCTCTCTCTCTCTCTCTCTCTCTCTCTCTCTCTCTCTCTCTCTCTCTCTCTCTCTCTCTCTCTCTCTCTCTCTCTCTCTCTCTCTCTCTCGCTCTGGCTCTCGCTCTCGCTCTCTCTCTCTCACTCTCGCTCGCTCTTTTTCTCTCTGTATGTAGATAGATAGATAGATAGATAGATAGATAGATAGATAGATAGATAGATAGATAGATAGATAGATAGATAGATAGATAGATAGATAGATAGATAGATAGATAGATAGATAGATAGATAGATAGAGAGAGAGATAGATAGATAGATAGATAGATAGATAGATAGATAGATAGATAGATAGATAGAGAGATAGATAGATAGATAGATATAAACTGTTTCATTCTTTAGAAAATTTACCTACATTATGCATCTTCTCTTGTTTTTTTCAACAACTAGATTTTGAATTTCGTCTTTATTATTATATCTCAAGCACATGCAACTGATACCACAGAGTACGAAACTTGGAAACAACAATATACACTGGCGACTGGCATGTGCTCTGGTGTGGTATACTCCTCCTTTCCTATCAAATATCTATCGTCCTTATCCCTTTTCTCTCCTCCTTCCTTTTTTGTTTGTTTTTCTCCAATAATACTTCTAATCTTCGGTATTTATGTGACCTAATTTGGTTGCAAACGCCATCAACCTCTTCACCATCATCCAATGCCAGATCTGCGACAGATTCATTCCTTTGCTTGGATGCTCTCAAAAAAGCTACGATTCCCTGATCTTTCTCTGTTACCGATTTGTTTAGGTACCCAAGTATGTTGTTCTGGGCCTTCCCCTGCCTCGCTTGCCCTCAATTTCGTCAACCTCTTACTTAAACTAAAATAACAACATACCGTGCCATTAAGAACAGCCTCCTGAGCCTCCTCTGGACCAGTCACAATCATCATCTTCCCTACTTTCTTGTGTAGGCGATGCAGGCAGTGGTCGTTGGTGATGGCGGTTTCGGCATAAACTGCAAGAAACGAGGAAGCAGAGACGTTTCTGTAAGCTTGAGCTGAAGCGCGGGGCTAATCAGTGAGAGAGCGGCCACATTAAAATTAGTCCTAACTTGTACTCATTCTATTTTTCCAGTTTAGATAGTGATGTGTTTCAGCAGTGAAAACCGGGAGCTAAACCATTTGAAGAAATTCTACGTAGCACAGCAATCAACCGTAATAATTTGGGGCTCAAAAGGGGGGGGGGGGGTTCAAGAGCCTTCTCAGCCGAGACAAAAACTCCCCTAGTCCGAGATTGGAATTGGTACAATTTGGCACACATTCCATGCTATGGCGAGTGGTGTCAAGATTATCTTTGAAGATTAATTTGGTGTCATATCTGTACAGCTAAATTCGTCTTACAAATTTTATAAAGGAATTAAAAAGTTGATTCGGTCTAAAAGCTGGATCAACCGACACCGGTAGCACATCTCAAAATGATCGATGATATTGGAAAATAAAATTATTCGTTGGGGGGTAGTAAGAACAACAAGTATCAAATGAAGTTCAGACCTGGAGGGAATAGTATTATGTTTCACACGAGTTGCTGTAACTTGCTTTTTATCTTTTGTTCCCTACCTTCCCATCATTATCATCATCCAGTGCCAGATCTGCCACCCACAGACATCGGCGATCATGGTTCTCCATTCATTCCTTTGCTCGGATGCTCTCAAAAAAGCTACGTTTCCCTGATGTTTCACTGTTACCCATTTGTTTAGGTTCCCTAAGTATGTTGTTCTGGGCCTTCCCCTGCCTCGCTTGCCCTCAATTTTGCCAGTGAGAGCTAGTTGTTCAAGACCCTTATGTCTATTTATGTGTTCCAAAACTGCATTTGTCGTTTCCTGATTGTTTTTAACATTGAGCGTCCCACGTGGGCTTCATCAAGCATTACCTCATTAGATTTCTTTTCCTTCCACGATACTCTTAGCAGTCTCCTAAGAAACCACATACCTTCCCATATATACTGTAATTCTCAAACCAAATCCGAACGCGCCGCCTTCAAAATCACGACTCTTCGACTGGAGGAAAAGCACAATTTAAACTAAACCCCGATATACTTACACTATCTAAATCAACAGATAAGAAGTCAGTAGCTAGACAAAAAAGTGGCGCTTTGAAAAAATCGCTGTGTCAACTCACCGATAGTGTATTCGCTGAAGTCGTATGAGGCTGGGTCAAAGCCGGTCGGATTTCCGGGCGCCACTTTGAAGGTGCCGAAAGAGACAAGGTACGGGGAGGTGAAGTCCCAGCTGTTGGAACGATCTGGTGTGTTGAAGTAGCCGGTACAGGCGTCGAACCAGCCAGACATCAATCCTGAGAGGACGGGTATAATAAACACGGTTATTATGAAAGAAGACTGTCGGATATATATAACGGATATGTCGGCTCAACACGGTCAACGATTAGGCAATGCAGATCTAAGATGTAAGACTCCTTTCTCATCAAACCTTCTCTTTTACATGTAGATAAAGCTCTTGTTGATATCTCTATTCGGGACTTGCTTGGCCTGCAAAACTTATTCCCCGC